GTAGTAGTAGTGGTACTGGTAGTAGTACTGGTAGTAGTAGTCGTAGTAGTGGTATTTCCAGTATCAGCGGTAGTAGCAAACGTAGTCGTCAACGTCGTCGTCTCACTAGTTGTCTCAATAGCAGAGGCAGTCACTAGAGCAGTGGTCTATATGGAAGTAGTAGTAGTAGTAGTAGTAGTAGTAGTAGTAGTAGTAGTAGTAGTAGTAGTAGTGGTAGTAGTAGTAGTAGTAGTACTGGTAGTAGTAGTGGCCGTAGCGCCATGAGTAGAAGTAGTAATAGTAGAGGTAGAAGTAGTAGTAGTAGTCGTAGTAGTAGCAGTACTAGAAGCAGTAGTAGTGATGGTAGTCTTAGTAGTTGTAGTGGTAGTTGTCGTGGTAGTAGCAGGAATAGGACTAGCAGTAATAGTAGAAGTAGTAGTCCTAGTGCTAAGAGCAGCAGTAGTAGTAGTCCCAGTAGTACTAGTAGCAGTGGTAGCAGTAGTAGTAGTCCCAGTAGTACTAGTAGCAGTGGTACTAGTAGCAGTGGTAGTGGCAGTACTAGTAGTAGTAACAGTCGTAGTAGTTGTAGTAGTAGTAGGAGTAGTAGTAGCAGGACTAGAACTAGTAGTAGTCGTAATAGTAGTTGTAGTAGTAGTAGTAGTAGTAGGAGATGTTGTAGTGATACTAGTATTAGTAGTAATAATAGTAGTAGTAGTAGTAGTAGTAGTAGTAGTAGTAGTAGTAGTCGTCGTAGTCGTAGTCGTAGGAGTAGGAGTAGGAGTAGGAGTAGAAGTAGTAGTAGATGTGTTTTGGGAGCCTCTTGGAGGCCTCTTGGGGCGTCTTCGGCGCCTCTTGGGGACCTCTTGGGGGCATCTTGGGGGCCTCTTGGAGGCCTCTTGGGGGCCTCCTGGGGGCCTCTTGGGGCCATCTTGGGGCCTCTTGGTGCCTCCTGGGCGCTTCTTGGGGCCATCTTGGAGGGAATCGGTCAAAGAAGAGGGAGCTTTAATGAGCGCTGCCCCCTCAGAAGGGCAAATGAGCCCAAAACCTTCGTAAAATCAATGATTTTGCTTGGAAAGAAGAGGGGAGCTTGAATGAGCGCTGCCCCCTCAGAAGGCGAAAATGGGGCCAACACCGTAGTAAAATCAATGATTTTGGTTTCAAAGAAGAGGAGATGGTTTTTTCTGCTCCCCCCCGTCGGGGCCAGAATCCTCGTGAGGGGTGTCCTTTTTTTAGCCCTCCCAGGAGTCGAAAATGGCCCAGGGGGAGGGGGTAGGGGGAGGGGTAAACCCCTCCCCGAAGGGGAAGAAGGGGGTTGAGAACAGAGCGGGCTCTCTAAACCACTCACGCCCAAAGGGCTGGTGGGATTTTCTGCCTCCGGGGGCCCTCACTGGGCTTGGGCTCTGCACGAACGAAAAGGGCACGGAAAGAATGGGTACGTTGCCCATCAGCGGATCTTGTTCATTTTGAACAGGACTCGCTGTCCACGCCGCCGCGGCCTTTGTCCATTCGAGACAGGAGGCCGCCTGCCCAACAGCGGCCGCTGTTGGTTTGGGACAACATTTGCTGTTGGGCATTGTACCCATTCTTTCCGTACCCATTTCGGGCGTCCAAATCGGGAGCGTCAAACAACGACTCGGGATGCAAAGGCGGTCATGGGGAAAGGGTCGGGACATTTGGGGGTCGACGTAATGAAAAATCATTACGTCGGGGGTCTGGGTCTACAGGAGGGATATTCCAAAGTAGTCATACAATAGTCGGGGGACGACGTTTTGACTATTTTTGGTCATTTGGTGAGGGTATTTTTGGCGTATGTTTGAGTTTTCGCCCAAAGCCCCCCCTGTAATTAGAGGGACACGCCCGACTTGAGGCTAAGTTCGATTCTTCCGATTCGTGCCGATGCGACTTCGGTGGCTTCCGATTCCGTTCCGATTCGAGTTCGGACTCCGATTTGGGCTCCGATGGCTCCATGGAGGCCTGCCGATTTCCGCTCACTCGACTCTGCCCGGCTCGGCGGCCGATTTCCGCCGATGCGAATCATTTCGACTGCAGATCCAACTTGCCGATTCGGTTCTGGGCTCTCCTGCCCTGTCGGGGAGACGTAAGACAAGGGCGCCCTCGAGGGCGCGAAGTTATGCGCGCTTCGCGGTTCGGCTCCGATTCCTCATCCTCCTCTTCTCCCCTGGGAGGCGGCGCGAGAGCGCGAAGTTATTCGCACTTCGCGCTTCGCGCAGCGCGAAGCGCGAAGTTGGGAGCCCTTGTGAGAGTCGAGTGAGCCGGAACTCGGGTGAGCCGACGCCTCTGTTGACGAGCGCGTCCTGGGTTCTGGCGGTCCAGTTTTCGAAGGACGTCTGCAGCGGGAGCTTGCGCCACAAATTTTCCAGGCTGGGTCTCGTCATCGTCCCGATGGCCGCGCGAGGCCAGCCCGAGGCCCACGTAGCCGAGTCTTACGTTTAAGTCGGGCCTGTCTTTGTACAGGAGGAATGTTCAAAAATAGTCAAAAAATAAGTTGGGGACAGTTTTTTACATTTTCTTGCCATTTTGGTGTATTTTTGGGTATTTTTTCTTTGTTGTTCAAAATCCCCCTGTAGGGGGACATGCCCGACCTGATCTTACGTCTCCCCGACCCCTGGGGTCCTCGCACCGAGGGAGGGGTGGAAGGCTCACATGAGCCCGCGTGGTGAACAAAAACATGGCGACGGGGCCTCGTCGGTTGTCGGCCTCTGGGGGCCCCTCTGCCGTGACCCATTGGGCCGTCAAAAATGGCTCGGGATGGAGCGCCGGCCCGTGGGGAAGGGTCGGGACTTCTGGGGGGCCCCGCACTGGAAGCAGCAGGGCGACGCCTGTCTGGAGGAGAGCCCCCCCCGCTGGCACCACGCCACGAGACTGGGCTTGCCGCCTTCATGGCCAGGATCAAGTCTAAGGAAGCAGGCAAGGCACGCCCCGCCTTCGCTTGATTCCCCATCCACTCGATAGTTGCTTTGTTTTCTCCTTATATATATACACATCTATATAAATATATACAGATATGTATGTTTGGCAGGTGTTTGCTTCCTCACCCTCCTGGGTTCTTTTTTGGGTATTACTCATTCATAGATTCATGTTGAGTTGTTTTATTGTCCTTTGTTTTGTTGGATCGCTCTCTCTCTCTCTCTCTGTCTCTCTCTCTCATCACACTCAGGCCACTCATACCCATACCTCGTTCACACTCAGCTACATTTTACTCAGCTTCATCACGCCCAGATTACCCCAGCAATTAGATAACCAGCATCAATACATATACGCAAACCCAAATTCAGACCCGCTGCCATTCAGACACACTCGTCCATATTGGTTCGCATTTAGATACATTGATACTCACAGTCGCTTCCGCTCATGCTCACTCATGCCCAGACTCGCATGCATTCAGATTTAACGAATTCCGTTCGTGTTCGGCCGCGGTTTTTTTCGTCAGAACCATACACGCATCACTCATACAAGCAGGGCCTCATGTTAATCGCGATGCAGGAGGCGTGGGGTGTGAACACCCAAAAGAGGAGCCGCTGTGGGTGGGAACGTTTGTTTGGTTGATCATACTTTTCGGAGCCCCATGCTTATCACGATGTTAGCAGACGTTGCATTTTAATACCCTAGGGAAGAGCCGCCAGGGATGGGGGCATGTACCCATCGTGCCCAGATAGTGGCGATGTCCCAGTGCGGGTTTGCGTGTTGTGTGTTTGTGTGTGTGTGTTTGTGTGTCTTGTCCCCATGCTTATCGCGATGTAGCAAGCGTGGCACTTGAGCACCCCAAGGGGGAACTGCCATTTGTGAGACATTTGCCCGTTCGCGCCCGGATGACCCCAGCGTGTCTTTAATATTGCCCAGCCACCCTCAGCTTCCGGCTGGCAAATAAGCTGTTCTTTCCCCTCTGCGCTCTTGTCCTCATCATCACCATCACCATCTTCATCACAATCAGGGGTCCGCCCCACCCGATCGTCAGCAGGGGGGACACGTATGGTCCAAGTCCTGCTGGAGGCCCCCATCCGTGAGTGAGCCCGCGGAGAAGCAGTTGCATCCGTGATTTCTGCTGGGGGGAGGTCAGAAGCGCCGAAGCAGAAAACGTTTCCAAGGCAGTCTTGATCTTGGCACGGGGCCGGCCCCTGGTGTCGGAGGGATCACCAGGATCTATACACCACACCGACCGATCCTGGCCAGGATCGGTGTTGGTGTATAGTTGGTGCCTTCCTATGGTGTGCCGAGTGCCCTCTGCGGAGTGTCCCCCTCGCCCTCGGCGCGCTGCGCGGTGCGGCGGTCCACGGGGCAGCGGCCGCGGCCCGCGGCTGGGGGCCGGGCGGCGCGCCGAGGCTCGGCGCCGCGCGCGGGGGGGTGGCTAGGCGGCCGCGGGGGCGGCCGCGGGCGGCCTGCGGTCGTCGAAGGGTCTCCAGTTTTGAGCCTCCGCCCCCACCAACCTCGACCCCAATCATGCTCCCCCTCCTCCTCCTCCTCCTCCTCCTCTCCTCCTCCTCCTCCTCCTCCTCCTCCTCCTCCCTCCCTGTCCTCCTCCTCCTCCTCCTCCTCCTCCTCCTCAACCCTCCTCCTCCTCCTCCTCTCCTCCTCCTCATCCTCCTCCTTCTCCCCTCGTCCTCCTCCCTCCTCCTCCTCCTCTTCCCTCCTCCTCCTCCTCCTCCTCCTCCTTCTCCCACCTCCCCCCCTCCTCCTCCTTTTCTCCTCCTCCTCTCCCACCTCCCCCCCTCCGCCTCCTCCTCCTCCTTCTCCTGTTGGGGAGGGGTTTTTAAAGACCCTTCCCGCTTATCTCAGGAGGCTGGTGGGTAGGGCTCATTTCGATGCCTCGATTCCGATTCGATTCGATTTGTCGACGGCTTCCGATTCCGGCTCGATTCGACTCGGGACTCTGACGTGGATTCGGATTTCGCAGCGGAGGCTTCAGTTCTAGATTGTCGATTCGACATTTCCTGACTCGGCTGCCATTTCCGCCGATCCGATCCGATTCTGTACGATCGACAGGGTATGCAAAGGCTGGGTACGAAGACGGGCGGCAGCTCCTGCCCAGTCTGGACAGGATTCGCTGTCTGCGTCGCCGCGGGCGTTGTTCACGTGAGACAACAGCGGTTGCTGTCGGTTTTGGACAACACTTGTTGCGTCAGGAGTTTTACCCATTTTTCCCTTGCCCACATCGAGCGCCCAAGTCTAGGAAGGCATGGATCGAGCAGTGGCGAAGCTCCGTGATCCGCCCAGTGATGAGCCCACCGAAGAATATTCGAATCACATGTGTGGTAGTTTGCACGATTTTCTGAGAGCATCTCGTATCGAGGCAGTCTTGTTTGATGCATCGCTTGTTTGTTTTCAGGTTTTCAGGATCTTGCTTTTGTTATTGGAACGTTCGTTTGCTACAATTATATATTGGCCTTGGTTGCCGGTGGATGAGGCCTCTCGCAGGCCTCCTGGAGGCAGGTTTGAGGTCTCTGGGGGTTTGTTGTGGGGCCTGTTGGGGCATCTTTTGAAACTCTCGGGGAACTCTTGGGGCCTCGCGGGGACCTCTCGGGGGCCTCTTGGGGCCTCTGCGGAAGACTCTGGGCCTCCTGGGTGCCTCTTGGGGCGCAAGGCTTGGATTGTTTGTTCGCGTTCCTCCTCGGGGCCGTCTTGGGACCCTCTTGGAGCCTTTGGGGCCCTCTTAGGGCGGTCCTGGGGGGCCTCTCAAGACGTATTGGAGCCTCGGAGCGTTGGATCTCCGAAGAGTGGTGAATCCAAAAAACATTGAACAACCCATGGCAGATCAATGAGTTTGGCCTCTCGGGGTCTCTTGGGAAGGCTCTTGGATGCCTCTTGGGATGTCTTGGACGCTTTTTCGGCCGACTGGAGGTCAGGTCATCTTGGGAGTCTTGGGCCGATTGCTCGGCGATTTGGGGCCCTCTTAGACCGTCTTGGGGGCCTCTTTGGGCCCTCTTGGCCTGTCTTGGCGCCCTCTTGAGCCCGAATAAATCACGCGAGAAGCCGCGACGCGCCGCAGAAGGCATGCGGGAAGCCCCAGGGGATTTGTGAAATTTGTGGCCTGGGCCTCTGAGGGAAGCCGCAAGACTGTAGACTGAGGCTCAGGGCTTGAGCAAGGGACATGGAGACACTCCCCTTCGTGCTACAGGGGCACGGTGGCGGGTAGTTCGTGGTAGGCCTGTAGGAATGCCGGGACGGCCGGTTCCTGCTCAAACGGAGGCTCTTCAAAAGCCCCACCGGAAGCCCTTATGCGCTTCTAAGAAGACCCCTGTCTTTTGAGACCCCCCCCTTGCCTTCTTAGAAGGATTCGGTGTTCGATCATGTGGACCCCTTGTGAAAGGCAGCCGTCCACCTCTCGCACCGAAGACCACCGAAGACCGCCAGGAGCCGTCGGAGACCGCCGGAGACTGCCAGAAGGCCGCCGAAGTCCGCTCGAGGCCGATGGGCGACAAGGGTTCCATGGAGAATCTGCTGCAATCCTCTGGCGCGCAACGGTCGCTGCCCGGCCCAGCGCCCCCCCTGGGTGACGTCAGCGATCGTGCGTGGGGCGGGAGGGGCCTGGACCCTTCCCAGCGGCGGATGCTCGCGCGCACACCGTGGCGATCGCGGGGCGCCCCTGCGCCGACGTGCCCCTCCCCGCCCGAGCGTTGCCGCGACCCGGGGCCCCACCTTCCCGGGTGCCGGCCGTGGCCGTGGCCGAGTGCCTAATAGGAAGGCCCTCCCCGTGAGTAGATTCCTGGAGGCCTCGCGCGGCGTGGGACAGTTCGTGCATTCTGGCCCGCACGCCCGCCCCGTCAGATCTGGGCGGGCGTTGGAGCGGCGACGCTCCGACGCAAGTCCGACGTGCGTCTGGCGTACTCCGACCAGGGCCCGGCGCACATCCGACGTTGACCCGAAGCACACTGGGGTCTCGAGCTGCCGCGCGAGGCCTCCAGGGCTTCCTCGCGTCGTTGTCCGGGGCCTCCCAGCTAGGGGTCGGAAGATTCCGCCGCATCGCTGCCGCACCGCCCAGGCGGCCTCGATGTGAAGCCCGATGTGCTCTCCACGTCGAAGCATCGCCGCAGCCTCGACGACGCATCGCCGAAGCACCGGCGACGCCTCGGCGAGGCGCCTTCTTGACCCCTGGACCGCAACCGAGGGCGCCGCCAAGATGCAGAGCAGGCGCCGACGACGACGACGACGACGACGACGACGACGACGACGACGACGACGACGACGACGACGACGACGACGACGACGGCGGCGGCGGCGGCGGCGGCGACGACGACGACAACGACGACGACGACGAACGGGGCGAGGCAGGCGGGCGAGGGCGGGCGGGCTTTCTCAGGAGGCTCGGAAACTTCTGAGGAGCTTCTGGAGCCTTCCCCGAAGGCACAGAGGAGGCTTTCTCAGGAGGAGGAGGAGGAGGAGGAGGAGGAGGAGGAGGAGGAGGAGGGAGGAGGAGGAGGAGGAGGAGGAGGAGGAGGAGGAGGAGGAGGAGGAGGAGGAGGAGGAGGAGGAGGGGGGAGGAGGAGGAGGAGGAGAGGGGGAGGAAGGGGGAGGAGGGGGAGGAGGGGGAGGAGGGGGAGGAGGGGGAGGAGGGGAGGAGGGGGAGGAGGGAGGAGGGGGAGGAGGGGGAGAGGGGGAGGAGGGGGAGGAGGGGAGGAGGGGGAGGAGTGGGAGGAGGGGGAGGAGGGGGGAGGGAGGAGGGGAGGGGGAGGGGGGGGAGGGGGAGGGGAGGGGAGGGGGAGGAGACGGAGGAGACGGAGGAGGAGGAGACGGAGGAGGAGGAGGAGGAGGAGGAGGAGGAGGAGGAGGAGGAGGAGGAGGAGGAGGAGGAGAGGAGGAGGAGGAGGCGGAGGAGGAGGAGGAGGAGGAGGCGGAGGAGGCGGAGGAGGAGGAGGAGGAGGAGGAGGAGGAGGAGGAGGAGGAGGAGGCGGCGGGGCTTCTGAAAAGCCCCGCCGCCTTCTGAGGAGGCCTTCTGCTGCTCACTTCCTTTCTGGGAGCGCCGCCGAAACTGGTCTTCGGGCCATAGCTCGGGTCTCTGGCGGCCGTTCGGCACGATCCGGCCACCCCCAGAACGCCCTCGGCGAGGCGCGGCTGCTGCTGGCAATCATCCCGAGGCTGGAACACCGCCCAGAGCCGACGAAAACGTCCGAAAACCTCGAACCCCGACCCCCGACTTCAATATTTTTTCATGACGTCGACCCCGAGAGGTTTCGACCTATTCCCTGGGACATGTTTGTCATCCCGAGGCGCTTTTGGACGGTAAGGGCCCCCAGGGGCCGGAAACGGCGAAGCACCTCCCGTCGTGATCTTGCCACTGCTCGAGGGGGCCTGGGTGCCCCGAGCCCCGAAACTTCCCCCCTCGCGCGCCGCCGGCACGAGGCAAGCGGGCGACGGCGGCTGCGACGGCACGCCCGCGGCGAGGCCGGGCGGCGAGGGCGGCGCGGCGCAAGGGCCGTCGGACGGGCGCCTCTCGGCGGGCGACCGCCGCCTCACCCCCTGCAGTGCGGAGAGACCCCTTGCAACGCCCGCGCGGCCCGCCCGGCTCTCGGCATCACTGGGACGCGTTTGTTTGTGTCCTCCCTCGGCGAGGACCACCGAGGAGCATTCTTGACCATCTTGCGAAGGAGAACGTGTAAGCAGAAACTCTGGGCGCTCCGCGCAGATTTCTTGGATCTGCGCTGGGCCCCCCGGCGGCGCCTGAGGCGCCGCCCCTGGCGCGCTCCGCGCGCCAGGGAAGGGGGGTCCAGCGCGGATCCAAGAAATCCGCGCGGACCGTCGATGGTTTCTGTTTGGGGATTTTTTTTTTTTTGTTTTGTTTGTTTCTGTTAATCCTTCCAACAATGTACCCGCACGAGATAGAAACATGCGCGGGGAAGGGACGTCTGAGCGATGGCGAGCGGGTGGGAAGCGGGCCCAGAAGGAGGCACCCTGAGTTCGACGTTGCAGCACAATCTGCGACATCGCAAAAGTCACGACCAGAGTTCTGGACATCATCTTTCTGCTTTATCTGTCGAGCCCGATCGATCTGTGAGGGTCCCGGGGCCCGAGATGGACCAGTAACGCCCGGTGTGAAAGAGTTGCAGCGCCAGGATCTCAGGGCGGGTCCCGAGAAGCTTCGCGGCTCTCGGGCTCACGGGGCCCCCCTCGGGTCCCGGGGCCGTCCCCAGACGGCTCGGGAGCCAGACCCCCTCGACGTCGTGACTTGTTTGTCACAGCGTCGACTGCAGAGGTCTCGACCCCTTCCCCGGGACCGGTGTCTCATCCCCAGTCGCTGTTGGACGGCCCCGAGTCCCCGTTTTCTTTCGCAGCGCGAGGGGGTCTGGGCAGGAAGGGTTCGGTCCAGGGGAAGGCCCAGGCGTGTCCGTTGAGCCCCGTGGCCCCCCGGGGCCCGTTGCACCCCGTGCTGGGCGGCGGGGCGTCGGGGCCACGCCGTTCGTCGAGCCTTCCTCGAGGTTTCGGAGGGTTTTGCGCGGGCGGTCTGTTCGTCGGCTCGCGGCTGCGTTCCAAGCCGCGGGATGTGCCTTCCATCGCCGAGCGCGTTCCCGTACTCGCAGGGTGCCTATTCGCAACCGTCCGACAGACAGGTGGTTGCCTCGATGCAGTGGATCGTCAGTCCCCCGCGGTGGATCCAGGCCGTTCGCGAGTAGTTACTTCGCGCGTAGTGGAACGCGCTTGTCTATTCCAGCACCTGCGCCTCGCCGAGAGCGCCCTGGGGGTGCCGGGATCGACCCCAGCTGCCACGGGAGAGCCGAATCATGGCCCGAAAACCACCAGGGGCAACGTAAGGGGGGGGGATAGGCCCTGGGGGGGATGCATCCGCCCCCAATCGCCCGTTGATCGCCTACAAGGGCCCGATAATTGGCCCACCCCGCCCAGGAGCACGCGGTTTCGCCGTCGGAGGCCTGTCACGAATCTATTGGCGATGCATCGCCGAGTCCAGCCCGATGTTTTTCCTTGGCCCAGTCCCCGCCCCGCCCACTGGTATGAGGGCCTCGTCCAACCTTCTCGGGGCCCTATTCGGGACATGTCGGGGCCGCTTTGGGGCCTCTTGCTCTTTGGGAGGCCTCGGTGGCAGGCTCTTGGGGGGGAGGAGAAGGCGGACTTTTCACCATGTTATCGGGTGCCCGTGTGCGGTCGCCCTTCTGGGCCCCTCTCGGGGCTTCTCTTCGGGGCTACGGCGCCTATCTTGAGGACCTGGGGGCTGTCTTGAAACTCTCTTGAGAACTTGCTGGACTCTTGGATCGTCTTGGTACGCACTCGCGGCCGACAGGGTGGTAATGCACGCATGGTTGAGTGCAAAGACATGTGCAGCCGATATTGTTTGGTTGATTCTCAGGCTTACGTCACAGCGCCAACCCCTTGGGGAGCTGGGGTTCTTGTGGCTTCATCTGGTGCCATTGGGGTCTGAACTGGCTTCTCATGGGCCTGCTGGCGATCCTTGGGGAGCTGTGCTGGGGCGGTCTGAGAGGCCCATGGGCCGTTCAGGGCAACAACGGTATGCTAAGGATGGGGACAGTGATTTTCGCAGCGGAAAGGAGCCGAACCACGGGCGTCGCAAGGGAAGGCGGGCGGCCACGCGCGGGGGGCCAGCGCGAAGAAATGCGGCAGGGCACGCGCCAGGGCGCGCGGCTGGCGGCGTGCTGGAGCTTCGGACAATGGAAAGTGAGCTTCAGCGGCCCCGCGGGCGAACGGCCACTGGAGCGGAATCAGAAACCGCGACAGGTTGTCGAGCACTTCGTGGACATGATGATATCGGAGTGCGGGGAGGAGGAAGGGGGTCGAGGAAGTGCGGAGCCGCTGCTGTGGATGCTGAGCGGAAGCCCTGGGCCTGGAAACCATCTTGTTGTGGAAGCGCTGCGGACCCACGTCTTCGAAGGCGTCGAGGGGTGTCGCTATGGGCCGGACCTGCAAGTGGCCGCCTGACAGGCCACGCGCGCGACGACTATTGATGCGTGGCACGAGTTTTTTGTTTGCAGTGTGCCGTTCGGTGGCGGGCAAGAAGGCGGAGGAAAACTGAGCGAGGACGGCGCGAAGAGAGGGGAGGCAGACAAACGGATTCAGCAGTGGTGGTAGCTGGCCATTCACGAAATCAGCATGGCGTGCGCGAGCCTGCTCGCGGAACTGGGCGCGCATGTGCGATCCGTCATGTCGGTGGCGGGGTCTGGCGAGGTAGGTGCGAATAGGTTGGACAAGCCTTTCGGCGAATAGGGTGGACAGGCCTTTCGGCCCGGGCGGAGCGCCGCTAAATGTGATCCCGACGTCGTGGATGCGCAAAGCAAGGGAGTGCGCAGCGAGCGCCGAAGAAGATCACGACGGCTATTGCGTACTGTTTTGCGACGGGCAGGGGGCCGTGGCAGGCATGATGGAGCTTGTCGAACGCAAGCGCTACGAGAATGACGAGTGGCGCTTGGAGACCTCAAGGAGGAGGAGGCGCGCTCATTCCTTCACGCGGGACCGACTGATGAGCCGCGGTTGCATGCTACGGGCCAGCGCGCGATTCGAAGGGTTGCGCTGGTCGCGTGAGAGAGAGAGAGAGAGAGAGAGAGCCAGCGCTGCCAGAAAGAGTGGAGACGACGACAGTGGGTGGCGAGTTGCAGATGCCCCGCGGATGACCCTTTCGCGTGGGCTAGATCTTCGTCGGCGACAGCGATCTTTCCGAACCAGCATTAAGTGCGAGGTGGCTCGACAAGGCGCCGTGAACATAGCCGCCAGAGTGCGGGAACATTTTGTCGCGGATGCACGCGCGGGGCGCGGCCCGCCGCGGCCGCGGCGCTCGCCGGCAGCGGCCGCGCGCGTCGGCCCGCGCGGTGCGACGGTTAGGCGGGGAAAGATTACGCAGGCGTGCTGGAGCGTATGCCGCTAGCAGCGGGCGCGCCTGCTGCGCTCGCTGACCATGTGGACCGCTCAGAGAAACAGTTGCCGATGGCCGCCGCGCGACCGGCATTCGTCGGCAGCGGGCGGTGGAGAGGCCCCCGTCGACGATTTGGTGGAGGCGGCGCTCCGCGAGATGCCGTGGCAAAGTGCTTTGGTCTCCCGCGACCAGATTTGGGCGCTGCAGGCTGGCCCGCGCCGCGCTGTCACCCGGCGCCGGACGTGGCATTTCAGTCTGCAATGGAAGAGGCCAGCGTCGGTGGTTGGCCGGGGGCATTTTTTGATGCCGACGGGCTTCGCGAGCACGGCGCGCGCGCGTTTCACGGGCGGGCGCTCGGCGCTGTCGTCGAGGGCGGGGGGTCGCGACGTCAGCTGGATGTCCAGTCGCGCGGCCGTCGCCGGCGCGAGCGCGCGCCCGGGGCCATTTATATATCGGCCGTTTGGATTGCGCCCCCGCGCGCGCGGCGCGATGCAACGGGCGAAGCTGCGGTTGGGGAAGATGCGAGAACGCGCTTTTCTACGAGGCGGGATCGCAGGAAAACTCACGCCGCGGAAGAGGCGCGCTGAGCGCAGCCAGGCCAGAGAAGAATATGGAGCTTCAGGAACTCACCCACTTCCGCTCGGCCTTGGTTTTTCCGTGATAAGGCATCTCGCGGGCGTTGTGCCGGCGCCGCCAGCTCAGAGCTGGATGGTTCTAGGCGTCGCGTTCTGCGCCGGCGGCGCCCAATGGCTTGGCGCCACATGAGCGCCCCGGCGTCGTTCGCCCAGCGCCTCGAGAGATTGCGATGTAGAGCTCGCATGTCAGCCGGAATTGCTTCTACCTCGCTGTTGCCCCGAGCCCGCGCGTCGTTCGCGCGGCCGCTGAGTGCCGCGGTCTCTGGCTGGAATTCGCATGTCCCGCTGCGCTGGTCGCGCCAGAGCTGGGCCCTGCAACGGCCTGAGACCCCTGAGCGAAGGGTCTGGCCAGAGCCGAACAGACGCGGAATATTTCGCGCGCCAACGGAGGGAATGCCTTGGAGGCACGGGGCCGCAATGGGCCGGGGAAAATCATGCGGAACGGGCGACGCCGCGTTTTTTTTGTTCAGAGTGTCTCGAGCAGCAGATTTTGCAAGGGGCCAAGGCGCCGAACGGCGCGTGCAGTGGGCAATCTCTGCGGTCCCCTCTCGGCAGGACACAGGCTCTGCGTTGGGCGCCCCGTCTCCCGCGGGCAGCCTCCGCGCGCGGTCGCCGGGGGGGCGAGGGCGCCGCTCGTCGCGGCGGGGCCTCAGACATTGGATGAATCGAAGGTAGAGGCGTGGAACTTGGCGTGACGTAGGTTGCCCTGGAAGTTCCATGGGATTGATGCAGTGTGCTCTGGCGCGTGGCGAGGGCTTGATGCAGGTGCGCTCGCGGTTTCGCCCCGTTTCTTCTTCCCAGCGCGTTGCCCGACGCCTCGCGACGACGTTTTCAGGGGCGTCTCGGGCGGGGGTGCAAGGCGCGGCGCACGCGGCGCAAGAGGTTTTTGGACAAGAAGGCAGAGGCCACCGCGGGCCCGCGCGCGACGAAAGCTGCCGAGTAGAAGTTCTGCAGGAAGCACGCCGCCAGAAACGAGGGCGCGCGGCGCGGTCGGGGCGGGGCGTAGAGCGCCGTGGGGAAGACGAATATGGAGAGCGCAGCGCGGAAGGCGGAACGGTTGAAGACGCCCTGAGGCGAGCGTCGGATCCAGGGCGTTTCGGCGCTCTCCATGCCTTCGAAAGACGACGACCGAAGTCCGCGTTCACAGAGGACGGGCTTGGGTCGCAAATTTGAAGCATCAACCGAGACAGCTCGGGTTCAACCGCGGCAACCGGGCGGCATGCGCGACGTTTCCGACGGCGGGGCGGGCGCTTCGGAGAGAAGGCGGTCCAAATGCGTCAGTGCCCTGCGCGTCCCACCCCAGCCGGGGGGCGGCCGCCGTGCATCTACCGCCGGAGCAGGCGGTCCATGACCTGGCCGAGGGCTCGAACCATCGTCCTATCGCCATCCTATCGTATGCCGTCTGTGTTACGTTGCACGAACGAGGGCACAGGCGTTTGAAAGTTTCGCGCGCAATTTGACGGAAGATGGTCAGGAGGGGAAACACACACACACACACACACACACACACACACACACACACACACGCACGCACGCACGCACGCACGCACGCACGCACGCACGCACGCACGCACGCACGCACACAGACACAGACACAACAAATCGTCGATCTCGAGGAGAATATGGAAAATATGGGAAGGGGGGAAGACAATTCCCCCAAACATCTAGGAAATTATGGGACATCCGGCTATTAGTGTGTATTTATTTGTGTGTCCCAGGGCCCCTTGAGATGGTCTGTTTCCAGACGACGGGCGCCTGCCAAAATAAATGAGCAAGAACTGATACATGCGAGGGAACTCGCTGGCATTTGCGAAGTGTCACAAGGCGGGGCGGGCGCCTCGAAGAGAATTGCCCCGGAGGCAAGCGTTTGGCGGACCCAGGCAAACGCCGAACAATGAAAGGGATCGGGCCGCCGCGTCGTTACGGCAGGGGCATCCTGTTGAAGCCTGGCGCGCAGCCAACATGCGCACTTGCAAGCGTTCGCGCCACAGTTTTGGGTGCCTCTGGGGCGCTTCCTCAGGGCATGTTGGGGCCTTTCTGGTGCGTTTTGGTACCAGTTGGCCAATCTCGGGAGCGTCTGGAACAGCTGTCGGGCGCTCTGGGGCGTTCCGGTGCCGTCCAGGCAAGTTTTTTATGTCTTGAAGGCTTCGTGTGTTTCCGGGAGCTTTCTTCGGCCGTCCATGGCCTTTCTGCTGTCTTGGGGGCTTCGGGGGCCGTTTGGGGGCGATCTTCGAGGTTTTTTGTTGTTCTCGGCTTTGCGACAACGAGATTAGCGAGGATTAAAAGCATGCGCTTCCGCGGGGGAAGTGGACGATTTATCCTTTTGGGCCTTCCTGGGTGTGCTCTTTGAGCTCTCTGGGGGCGTCTTGTGGATGTTGGGTGGTGTTGACAGGGCGAAGAGGCCCTCCAGAGCCACGTGGGTGCCCCCGTGGGCCGTCATGGGGCGTCCGGGAGCCGAGTCAGGGCTGTCGGAGACCGGACGGAAGGATCCCTGGTGCGGAGAAGCCCCCCCCCCCCCCGGCGGAGTGATGGCACCCCCAGCCGCCCTCCCCCCCCCTCCAAAAACGACCCGACCAGGCTCCACATGTAGTCTCAGCAAATGTGGTCGGAGGATCGCGCTGCATCGCCGATGCTGCATCGGCGATGCGGCTCGATGCGGAGCCAGACTTTCTTCACGCAGACGTCGCCGATCGGTCGGACCCCCAGGGGTTCGGTTTGCGGGACGGTCTTCGGCCGGGTGGCAAGGGGGGGTGACCCACATCGGGGGCGAAAACAAAAGGGCACAACGGGGCCTCTGGGGCTCGAAGGCCCCTTTTGGGCACCTGCTGGCTCCCGAAGGTCTTCATCCCCGATGTGGGTCACCCCCCATTACCACCAGCCCGAGGTTTGGGGAGGGGTGGGGGAGGGGTCGGGGCTGAAGGGACGGGGGTACATGCAAACGGGGGTCGGCCATCGCGCTGGATCATTCAGGATCCTGCAGAGCCCGCCGGACTCAACCCCCGTCCAAACCGATCGGACCAGGCCCCCTGGGGACGGGCTGGGGGAGGGGCCAGCATCTTTCGAAGAAGGAAAATGCCATGAACATAAATTTGTGGCGCTTCGCGCGGACTTCTTGGATCGGCGCTGGGACCCCCTGGAGGCGATTCACGAAATCCAGAAGGCCCAAGAGACGACCAGGAGGGGCTATGGGGATACCTTGGGGAGTGTGGAACGTCTGTGGTTCCCATACTTCTCGGGAATTCACGCGGCGAGCTCCAGAAACCCGCGCGGTCGTCAGCGGATGGTCAACGGCCCCTCAGCGTCCTCCAATAGTTTGCACCATGGGTCATCCATGACCGTTTCACCTGGTAATTGACAGGCCGCAAGCGTGAAGGCTTGACAACACACCGCAGCGACGGAGACTCACCCCCACACCGCCGCATCTCGCGGGCGATGTCTGTGTCATCCGAGGCGCGCTTATCGGAAAAGCTCGCAAACTTGCCCCAGAAGGCCGACACATCCTGGGAAACGACAGGTCGAGATGACTCTTGCCCCGCCCCCCCCTCCGCTTGCATTCCCGACCCACCCCACGCCCCAGAGCTTACAGAAGAAAAGGCTCATCTCTGACCCGAGAGCTCGCAGATGCGTGCCAGAGGCACGTCCGCAGGCAGCAAAGCCCCGTCTGCGGCGACGACGACGACGACGACGACGACGACGACGACGACGACGACGACGGCGGCGGCGGCGGCGGCAGTTCGCTCTGCTGCGGCGTGGCAGCATCACGGCCTGGAGCTTCCCGCGACGGGCCCGGCGGAGGGCAGCTGCGGTCCGTGCACGTCACGAAGGGGGCCTTCCTCGACAGCATCCGGTTCACGCTGCACGACGGCTCCTCGTCCAGGCGCTCCCGGCACGACCGAACGCGAAGAAGGCGAACGCCGCAAACACGAGCTTTTGGCGCTCCGCGCGGATCTCTTGGATCCGCGCTGGGCCCCCCCCCGGCGGAGCCTCTGGCGCCGCCCCTGGCGCGCTCCGCGCGCCAGGGATAGGGTTCCAGCGCAGATCAATGACACCCGCGCGGAGCGCCGACGGTTTATGTTCATGGCGTTTTTCTTCTTCTACGAATCGGACGGAAATGCTGGGGACGAAGACCAACATCGGCTCTCTGGGCCATCCGGACTGGTTCAGAGCAGGTGGGGTCGGAGGGTCTCGCCGCATCGCCAGTGCATTGTCAGCGATGCGTCTCGATGTGGAGCCAGAGCATCTCCACGCCGACGCCGCCGATGCATCGGAGGTGCATCGCCAATGCGGCACGCTATCCCGACCCCATCTACTCTGACCCAGCTTGGAGGCCTCTAAGTTCCTGTCCACTCTGAACGTATATCGCTGTCTGTGCCGCCCCGGGCAAGTGTCCATCTGAGACACAAGCTCGTCTTCTTGACAGGGGCCGTTGTCAGTTTTAGACAGCATTTGCTGTTGTAGGCCTCCCATATAGGGTCTGAGTAGAAGTGGTCGGAGGATCGCGCCGCATCGCCGATGTATCGGCGATGCGGCTCAATGTGGAGCCCGATTTCCTCCACGCCGACGTCGCCGATGCATCGCCCACGTTGACGATGCATCGCCGATGCATCGCCGATGTCTCGGCTGTGCGGCGCGATCCTCTGAACCCGTCTACTCCGACTCTTTCTTGGAGGCCTCTAGTGGGTATCGTGCTCATTTTTCGTGGCCTGCTGCTGGCGTGCGGAGGCTCGGCACCCCGCTGCTGGGCGACTCCCACCCGCCGCTGGTGCTGGAGGCTGGGGAGAGGGTCGTGGCTGTGCGCGGGCGGCAGGCTTCAAGTAGTGGCGAATTGTCCTTGCTTGCCCATAGGCCCACCAAGGAATGCTCTAGGAGCCTGTTTTGTTTTGCACGAAATGTTCGGATCACATGCCTGGCTGAGACTGAAATACGAATCTGAAACACAATCTGAGTACGTGTGTGTGTGTGTGTGTGTGTGTGTTCTTAGAACTTCTTGGGGTTCTAAGGACGTGTCGTCGTAGGCCCATAGGAATGCCAGGACGGTCGGTCCCTGCCCAAAGGCTAGCCACTACCTGGCAGCTGGCATTACGATCGAGACTTCTTTTGGACGCTCGTACGAGGCCCACGGCTCGTGCTACGACGGCGCGGCGAAGCAGGGTTGCCGCGCTTACACCCCCGATGAGTTCGTTTTCCGAGCTTCCGAGGGCGAAGAGATCGTTGGTCTCCAGTACGATGGGCGGTTCATAGCTGGAGTGTTGCTTCCTGGGGCTGCGAAGCTGGTGTCTGTGCACGCCACGAAGGGACGGGGACTGGAGAGCATCACTTTCACGGCTTGGAACGGGGCGAAGTTCAAGTATGGCACGCAATCGGACAATTTCTCGAAGGCAGCCGACACGTTCGTGTTGGAGAGGGGGGAGAGGATAACCGCGGTGCGTGGCAGGCAGGGCCACGATGATTTGGCAGCTGGACTCACTCTCGTCACATCGACAGGCCGCTTGTTTGAAGCCCATGGCTCCAAGTACAACGACAGTGCATTTGGTGGCGATGAGTTCGCGTTTGCAGCATCAGGTAGCGACGAGATCGTGGGGCTACAGTTCGACGGACCCAAGATCTCTGGAGTGATGCTGGCTGGGCCCGACCGCACACCCAGGTAAGCACGTCCGTGACGTGGCTTTCCCAGGGCCGATATCGATCGGACCGATCCGAATCGATGTTGATTTAGGCTGGCCTGATCCGATGCAACCGCGATTTCCCAGCGATCCGATGCGGCCCGATGTCTGCATGGCGTCGGTGTGCATTATGGCGCAGCCGATCCGAGTCGATTCCGATTCCGTGCCCATGCAGCCCGATCGGATGCACGTTCCGATCCTGTTCGGTGTATCGATTCGACGTGCATCGCTCCTGCAGTCCAGCTTAGATGTAGTGATTGCGTTGCCGGGCACCGCCGGGCCTGCCAAAGTTGTGTACATACTCGGAGCGGCATGTCGCCATTGAGGTCGGCTCCAGCGTCCGCCGTGCCTGCCCCCCTCTTGCCGTGTCTCGGCGGCTACAGAGACCCGGCTCGCCGTGCGACGTCCAGACAGATATCCCGGACCTCCATGGGAGAAAAGAGAAGGGACCGGGACGGTTGTCAGAGCAGAGCCAGTTGAGAGAACGGTAGTTGGTTTTCGGGGGTGCCCCTGTGGTGCAACACATGGTGTTCCTATGTTTCGAGCTATTGTCTACCTGTGGCGTATGGCGTACCGATGCGACGAACTATGGCGCAAAGCATGGCGTAAGGTAGCATGATCATGCATCGCAAAATGTGGTGCAAACGGATGAGGGGCCAGAGGGAGCTGCATCAGGCATTTTGTCCGATTCTGGCCCAAATCGCATTGTTGGAAAAGGGCGCTCACGTCCAAACGCCCTTTCCTGGCTGAATCTGACAGCAGCAAGCATTGTCTGCATCTGCCCTGGGCGCCACGCTGAAAGAGGCCTCTGACTACGTATGCCAGGCGCAGCACGTGCGGGCACGTCCAGGCGCAGCTTGAGAAGGCTTTCTTGACGAAGAGCCTCGGGCCACGACTGTCGGGCCGGACGAAAAGGGGGGATTGGGAAACGGGGGGTTACGAAATCTGCTGCATGCAGCTGGTTTCGGCCCCGCCGAGGGCCCATTCCTCGATACATGGCCGCCTCCGGCGCCGGGAGGCGCCGGGAAAAGCAGCTACGCGAGCTGGTTCTCCCCCCCCCCCTTTGCTATCCCCCTTGGACTGGTTCTGGTTCGCTACCCCCCTTTTGCTAACCCCCCTTTGCTATCCCCCCTGGTTCGCTATCCCCCCCTTTGCTATCCCCCCCTTGCTATCCCCCCTTTTCGCCCGGCCCGAGACTGGTGAAGACCACCTCGCCCCACCTCGCCGGGAGCCCCACCACGCGGCGAGCCCCGCCGCCTCCGCCTCCTTCCCCCATCCCCCTCCTCTTTTTTCCGTCGTAGGCTTATGTCGGGCGTGTCCCCCTACAGGGGGATTTTGGGTAAATTATCCAGGCGAAGGACCCAACCATATGCAATTGTGAATAACGCTTTGTGGGTGCCGCTTTCGGTGGGGCTCCTTATGGGGCCACGAAAGGCGTGCCACGAAACGCTGTCCTGGGCGTACGGGACGCATGAGGGCGGTAGCACTGGGGCCTTCGGTGGAGCTCCCTATGGGGCCACGAAACGTGTGAGGGGTGTGCCGAAATGGGTGCGGCGCCGCCATGCGAACGCAGCCACTGGGGCCTTCGGTGGAGCTCCCTATATGGGGCCACGAAGCGTGTGAGGGGTGTGCCGAAATGGGTGCGGCGCCGCCATGCGAACGCAGCCACTGGGGCCTTCGGTGGAGCTCCCTATGGGGCCACGAAACGTGTGAGGGGTGTGCCGAAATGGGTGCGGCGCCGCCATGCGGACGCAGCCACTGGGGCCTTCGGTGGAGCTCCCTATGGGGCCACGAAACGTGTGAGGGGTGTGCCGAAATGGGTGCGGCGCCGCATGCGACGGCCACTGGGGCCTTCGGTGGAGGCGGCCACTGGGGCCTTTCTCCCATGGGGCCACGAAACGTGTGAGGGGTGTGCCGAAATGGGTGCGGGGCATGCGGACGGCAGCCACTGGGGCCTTCGGTGGAGCTCCCTATGGGGCCACGAAACGTGTGAGGGGTGTGCCGAAATGGGTGTGCGGGACGCATGCGGACGGCAGCCATGGGGCCTTCGGTGGAGCTCCCTTGGGGCCACGAAACGTGTGAGGGGTGTGCCGAAATGGGTGTGCGGCCCGAACACACGAAACGTGTGCCACTGGGGCCTTCGGTGGAGTATGGGGCCACGAACGTGTGAGGGGTGTGCCCGAAATGGGCGCGGCGCCGCCATGCGGACGCAGCCACTGGGGCCTTCGGTGGAGCTCCCTATGGGGCCACGAAACGTGTGAGGGGGGTGCCGAAATGGGTGCGGCGCCGCCATGGGACGCAGCCATTGGGGCCTTCGGTGGAGCTCCCTATGGGGCCACGAACCGTGTGAGGGGTGTGCCGAAATGGGTGCGGCGCCGCCATGTGGACGCGGCCACTGGGGCCTTCGGTGGAGCTCCCTATGGGGCCGACTCCGCTGTATGGGGCGCGCGTACAAACGGTGGAGCTCCCTATGGGGCCACGAAACGTGTGAGGGGTGTGCCGAAATGGGTGTGGGACGCATGCGGGCGCAGCACTGGGGCCTTCGGTGGAGCTCCCTATGGGGCCACGAAACGTGTGAGGGGTGTGCCGAAATGGTGTGCGGGACGCATGCGGACGGCAGCACTGGGGCCTTCGGTGGAGCTCCCTATGGGGCCACGAAACGTGTGAGGGGTGTGCCGAAATGGGTGCGGTGCCGCCATGCGGACGCGGCCACTGGGGCCCTCGGTGGAGCTCCCTATGGGGCCACGAAACGTGTGAGGGGTGTGCCGAAATGAGCGCGGTGCGCCATGCGGACGCAGCCACTGGGGCCCTCGGTGGAGCTCCCTATGGGCCACGAAACGTGTGAGGGGTGTGCCGAAGTGGTACGGTGCCGCATGCGGACGCAGCCACTGGGGCCCTCGGTGGAGCTCCCTATGGGGCCACGAGACGTGTGAGGGGTGTGCCGAAATGGGTGCGGTGCCGCCATGCGGACGCAGCCACTGGGGCCCTCGGTGGAGTTCCCTATGGGGCCACGAAACGTGTGAGGGGTGTGCCGAAATGGGTGTGGCTGACGCGGAGGGGGAGGAGGGAGGAGGAGGCGGAGGAGGAGGAAGGAAGGAAGGAAAGGAGACGCGGGGCTCCGTCTCTTCAAAACGAGGACCCAACACCACAGGATGGTTGGGAAAAATCGAAGATACCAAAAACATAGTCCAAGAATAACAAAAAATAGTCTGGGGATGATTTTTTGAGTACTTTTTTATTTTTTCTGTGTATTTGTTGGGTATTTTTTATATGTCGTCGAAAAGTCCCCCTGTAGGGGGACAGGCCCGACATAATCGTAGGCATGCCCCTCCTTGTCGCACCCCGAGACGTGTCGGTGGGGCGGGCCGGGCGCTTCGCTCGAGACGTCCTCGGTGCTTATGTCGACTAGACGTAAGAGTGACCTTTCGCCAGATGGACCTTTGGTGCGGGCACAGATGGGTCCTAAGATGGCTGAAAACGAGGCAGTAGCAGCTGCTTGCGCGCCCAGGTTTGGTCCCCCCGCGGCCCCCAAAAAGTCGCGCACCAAAGGTCACTCCTACCCAGGGTCACTCCTGCGTGTAGCCGATTATGATCCTGAAGTTTAGAAGTCGCAGGAGTTTCACGGATGGAGGGTGGGTCCGTTTCAACATGTGGTTCTCGACTCAGCGCCGGCGCTTCCGTCGTCACAGTCTGCAGGAGTTTTTCACGGATGGAGGGTGGGCCCTCTTCGAAGTGTGGTTCTTGCCTTAGCGCCGCGCGCCTGAGGTTCACGGATGGAGGGCGTGCCTTTTTCAAGATGTGGCTCTCGATTTCGCGTTGTGCACATTCGTCTTAACAATATGTAGGAGTTTCACGGACGCAGTGCGAGTCTTTTTCACACACGGATCCCGCATGAGCTATGCGCACATTCGTTTTCACAGGTTAATTCGAGGTTCACGGATTGAGGTCGTGCATGTTTCAAATTGTGGTTCTCTCTTTAGCGCTGCACATTTTCGCCTGACAAGTTCACATCAGTTTATAAAGGCATGTTCTAATAGTTGGCGTCCCAGAAAATGCATTTTGGCGCGATGTAGGATTGTCAAGGCGCAACGGTCACGTTGCTTCGCGGTGTTGATATCCGATGATGGTTTTCAGGCACGGTGTAGGATTGCCAGGGCGCAGCGGTAACAGTGGTTCGTGGCGTTGAATTCCCAGGAATGGTGATTTGGCGCGATTCTGGATTTTCAGACGGTTGTCTTCCAACAGGGCACTCTTCATGAATTTTTGTAGGGTTTTATGAAGGGGGAATGTGGTGGGAGGTTGTATTGCAACATCGTTGGTTGGTCTTGGAATTACACATGTCTTGCTCCCCCTCTGTCCCCGCCTCTTCCCTATCCTTTTCATCCTCGCCCTCTTC